ATATTTCAATCTTGAGTTACATCAGATGGATGTAAAGACAATGTTTCTCAATGGTAACATTGATGAGACAATTTATATAATTCAACTGGAAAACTTTATTTCAAAAGATTCAAAAAAATTAGTTTGTAAACTTAAGAAATCCATTTATGGGCTCAAGTAAGCATCTTGACATGGTATTTCAAGTTTAATCACATGATAACCTCGTGTGGTTTTGAGGTGAATTCAGTTCATGATTGTATATACCATAAGTTTTTTGGGAGCAAGTATATTTTTTTTGGTTTTGTAAGTTAATGATATTTTGCTTGCCAGCAACAATATAGGTTTATTGCATGAAACCAAGAGAGTTTTAGCTAAGAACTTTGAGATAAAAGATCTTGGTAATGCATCTTTTGTATTGGGCATACAAATACATTGAGGTACTCTTGGGTTGTCTCAAAAAGGTTACATCGAAAAGGTTTTCAAGAGATATGGCATTCAAGATTGTAAAACAGATAATACCTCTATGGCTAAGGGAGACAAGTGTAGTCTCAATCAATTCCCTAAGAATGACATTGAAGAAAAAAATATGCAAAAGATTCCTTATGCGTCAGTAGTAGAAAATCTAATGTATGCTCAGGTTCGTACGCGTCCAGATATTGCGTACATTACAAGGATGTTAGGTAAACATTTGAGTAATCTTGGATTGGATCATTGCAAAGAAATTAAACGAGTCATGTAGTACTTACAGAGGCAAAAGATTATTTGCTCATATATTATAGGTTAGATCAGATTTAGATCATTGGGTATACTAACTCTAATTTTGTTGGATGCAAAGATAGTATGAAATCTATGTCAACTTATAAATACATGCTAGCGGATTTGTTATTTCATGAAAGAGTGCTAAACAATCTCTTATAGCCTTTTATACTATGGCAGCTAAGTTCATAGTGTGTTATGAGACATCTAATCATGGAATTTGGCTACAAAATTTTGTCACAAGATTGAGTATAGTAGATAGTATAGAAAAACCACTTAAGTTATTTTTTGACAATAAATCAACAACTCTATTTTCCAACAATAACAGAAGCTCAACAAAGTCTAAACACATAGACATCAAGTTTCCAGTTGTTAAAGAAAAAGTTTAGAGTAAATAGTTGTCTATAGAATATATTGACATAAACCTCATGGTTGTGGATCCTCTTACTAAAGGATTACCACCCAAAATGTTTCATGAGCATACTACTCATATGAGTGTTATCTTTTTAAGTGATGTTCAGTTTTAGTGAAAGTTTGTAATTTTTTGAATGCTTCTATGATATAAACATATTTTTCAATATATGTATGGTTCAAGTATATTTTCTGTAGAAATAAAGTTTTGGTACATTTAAACATTGATTTTGTTATGGTTTGATTTCACTAAGGTTTAAGGAGGATCTATTGGAATTAGGCATGTTAAGATCACATTACATAAAAATTTCATACTACAAATCCATATCATGATTCATGTTATTCATTTGTATCATCATACCTGACCATTGATGGATTTAGTTATGATAAATGTAATAAAGATTACTTTGATCTTGTGTTGGTATGATTGAAGGACTTAATTGGTAAAAGATGCATTTGTTAATTATGTAATTATGAGGTTACACATATAGTCCAAGTGAGAGATTGTTGGATTCTTATTCCAACATTGGCCTTATATGTAAATATATTTTAGGTACACATAAGGTTATGCCAAATTAAAGTGATCTAATGACGTATAAATTATTTGGGCAATTATGTATCTAAAAAGATATGGGACTTTTAATATGTGGTAACTGAAGGGTAATTCTATTTTGTGATGGGTGAAAATATAAATACTAAAAGACAACCTTATGACTGTCCATAAATAGGTTAGGTTCTCAGATCACATGACATTCTTTTCTTTTCTGACATCCCGTTATTAAAGAGAGATAAAGAGATAACTAAAGAGTTCTCTTAAGAGATTACATGTTGATCTAGAAGGCTAAACCATACCATTCTCTTATCATAATGAGTTGAGGTATGCTTCCGCTTATTATTTCTAGTGATTAACATGATAGATTTTGTGTTTTATATAGATGATAGTTTTCATCAAATGCTTAAGTTTGTTTTTAACATTTTAATCCTTATAGTTTAAGATATAAATCTTTTTAAAATCTATACTTGCATATTTGTAATCATTTTATTCACCATCATTAATTTCTTTTTGAAACATTTCTATTTTATGTTGACGTAGTAGAGATCTTTAATTTTTTTAGAGTAAAAAAATTAGTGTTTTAACAATGGATAGTGTAAATAAAGAATGGATAGTGTAGAAAAAGGTTAGAAAATGCACAAAATATCGAGAAACCTAATTTAGAGTAATTCTAACAAAATAAATTTGACATTAGATATATAAAGTAGAATTAACATCTCTGAAACATCAACAAGAAAGAGACAATGTTACAAAAATATAACAAGAACTAAAAATATTTAAAAAAAAATTACAACTATAGAAATTAAAAATATTTATCTTAAATTATAAGACTAAAAAGGATTGATATATATATATATATATATATATATATATATATAAATAAAATTATAAGAATTAAAAAATTATATCATATCATAGTAATTTACTTGCGGATATCAACTACTAACAATTACTAGTTATTATTTGAAAGACATTTATCGGTGAAACTTGTTTTTCCTACATACTCATGTTTCTAACAATTACTTGTTATTATTCACACTCATTTATTACATACTTTTTATATTGATATTTTTTATTTAATTAATTTTAAGATTTGATAACAAATTAAAGCAAATTAAAAAAAATTTACCTGGAAAATTTATATAATTTAGACAAGAAAGAATGAACAAAATTTAACTAATATTTCTTCATATAATTTACAAAAATTATATATACTACGAGAAAAGAAACACTTTGTATCCATCTAATTTTAAAATTAAAAAAATTCATAAAATAAGTAGTTACTTAAAGAAGATAAATGATTTTAAATGTCAAAAACATTGAGAGAGGAAAAGTAGTTTGAATTTGAGTAAAATAAAAATAATCAATTTAAAAATAGAGTTGAAAACATTTAACAAAAGAAGTATTCTTTTTATATAATAACACA